TACTCAACTACAGAAGTCTCCAAAGACACGGAAGCCTACTGAACACACAGCCGGCGCTCACAGACCTGTGTGTCTGTAGCAGCTGGTACTTCATGGGTATCAAGTAACATACAATGCATGACCAGGCAAGGGGTATTAGACTAAAAAGACCTGAACACAAAACCTGATTATATTTATTCAATATTTCACCTTACCATCATTTTAATAAAGGTAAATGCAAATAAATGAGAGGCAAAAACAAGAATCTAAATACATACGGCACAATAAAAACCATTCCCAGGCTCGAAGGGCAGAGCAATATCACCGTGCTCCTTACATGCACTCTCTTGCCTGGATTCCCAACACTGCCCAACCAAAGCAGTCTCAGCAGCTTCCTGGACACCTGGACAGTGGGGCACAGTCTCTGTAATGCTAGGACCTGTGCTCACAGCTTCAAAGTGAGGCCCATGGTCTATTCTCTAGGCAGACTGCAAAATACCCCATTTCCAAGTAATTTTCTGTTTGATGAAAACAATTTCCTTCAAACAAAATGAATGAAAGGACAGCTTGGTAGTATTACTGCCGCTTAGTGTAACTTGCATTTCCCGTCGTTCTTAATACTTAATAAATAAAGGAATCAGAACACTGGAGCTGGACCATACGCACGTCCGCTTCACCTCACATAAGCTCTACTTTGGTGGAAAGTTCCTCCGACTACTAAGGACATCTTTTTCTCTAAGAAGTTACTCTACCCACAAAACACTTGGATAAGGCCACAGCAAAAGAAGTCAAACTGACAACGGACAAAGCAGCTGGGCTTGAGTGCTTACATTTTCTTTTTGGGGGGTTTGAGGTACAAACAGGAGACTCTGAATGGTCTGCTCTCAGCAGAGTACAGACACTCAGACCCTACGTCAGCTCTCTGCTCGCCGGGTATCTACCGAGTAGTTTAAGTTAATCTCTGGGGTACATTCTTCACAAGTCACACCATGGACACAGGTGACTAAGATCTACTTAATGAAAATTTTAATTCCTTGGGCTACAGGCTTAAAGAAATCGTTGTCTGGAGCTTCCCTTGAAAATGTTATGAAGAAGCTGGCTGCCAGGTTTTCTCCCCCCATTTCTTTAAGAGGCCCCTATTCAGCCAGTTCTGATTCTAAAAAATTCTTAAGATCCAAAAGGCCTGATTACAAAGTTGCAAAGTTTTTTTGTCTGAATAATGTGCCAACTTTACTAAAAGTAGGGTTATTATAAAAACACTGTTAAACATTGAAAAGAAGATTGTAAAATCATCTATATAGAAACTGGTAATTTGAGAACCAACAATATAAATTTTTTTTTATATAAAAAACAGTATAAAAATTAGTAACGTGTCTCATTTCTACAAAACAGGAGTAGGAAGGTTGTAAAAAAAATCCAGATTTTGTAAAATTTATTGCCGAAATGTGTGTTTGAATGCTGGTGATTTAGATGATCAAATTTTCTTCCATTTTCCTCCAAAGAACTTCTGAAACTACAAAAGATATTGAACAGGGTTCCCCACCAAAAAAGACAAGTTAACATACTTTCAACAGAACCAGCTCCCCTAGCCCTCAAGACAATTTCTTTCAGAGAGAAAACCATCACTTCCATTCCTGAAAAAGGGCTTTGAAAGATCCCCATCCACAACTCCCTGGAGGACCTTTCATGCAGAGGCCGGCAGGTGCACTAGCGGGCTCCCAGGGTTCTCTGCTGAGGCAATTCTGTTCAGTTTGCCAACCTCCGCCTGCCAGCCAGGGATCTTCTTGGTGGTCACGTGGCGCCGGGCATGCTTCGTCAAGTGGTCGCTGCGCATGAAACGCCGATCACACACGGGGCAGGCAAACTTCTTCTCCCCAGTGTGGGTTCTGCGGTGGCGAGAGAGCTCGTCTGAACGAGCAAATTTCTTATCACAGCCAGCCCAGCTACAGGTGAAAGGCTTCTCTCCTGAGAGACAAGAAAACACAAAGTAAAAAAAACATAAATGCTCAGCACCTTACTGGACAGGTTAATTCATGTTGTCTGCAAACTGTATTCATCAAAACCTAAGCAGCAAGTAACATCCTATTATTCCGGTATCAGGTTATTTGGAAGTCAAGGAGTCGTCCAAGATGCATTTCTTCCTGACACACCTAAGATGTAATATGTCAGGGCCCAAAGACATCAAACTAATCTAATCCTTCTAAAGGTATTTTTAAATAAAAATAAATCTTTGACTGTGAACTTGGGGTAGGAGGTAAATTCGTGAAAGGAATGACTCCTTCCCTCTCTGGAAGCTGCACATATAAAACAAATCCCTCCTATAGCACCTGCAAGACTTCTCAGAATCATTCATTCCATCTTCATATTTGTCACTACACTGACAAGGAGGTTAACTGCACAACAGGTTAGAATTCTAGCAGCTACCTTCTTGTTGTTACGTGCTTCAAGTATCCGTCATTCACTCAAAAGTTTCAGAGCACCCGGCAGGTGTCCTGCCCGTACTGTGTCTTCCTGGAGGTACAGGGGTGAGTGGGAAGCCCTTGTCCGCAGAATCCTGGGCCTTTCCAGCCAGCAGGAAGGC